ATACTTACAAGCAAAAGTGTATATAAATATGTATATTTTGGTATATATTTACATACACGTATATATTCAAAAGCTGAAAGTGCAAGAAAACAGTGTGAGATTACTTTCGGCTTCTTGTGAAAGAAAATGCCAGTGCTCACACACGCATATACACACACACATACACAAACAAAAGCACACATGCATGCATGATCTTAAGTCCAGTGAAAGTATGGCTGTGTGTGTGTGTGCAGTCGGCAATCATTTTGCCATCACAAATGCCAAACAAAGCATTTCAAACAATAACAACAACAAGCGCTGTTGTAAATAACCGCAAAATTGCACAAACAAGCCAAGGTTTAGACATTAAATGCTGTTGACATTTTCTTCACTAATAAAGATGTAGAGTGGAGAACAACGCTGCACGCCGCCAAACGGCATTTTGAGTACCGAAAAGTGACAAAGAGTCACAAGTGATTATTAGTGAGTCGAAGCAGAAGAAGAAGAAGAACAACAAAAGTTTGCTGCCAAATAAACCGCAGAATATGGCAAGGCATAAAGTGTGATTGCAGTTGRGAGTGGCTGGAGTTGAGTAGACCCGCAATCACTTTCAACTGGTGTACGCATGTGTGTGTGTGTGCGGTATCGTTTGTTTGTCGCACGGCGCATTAACATTAATTGCATGTGAAACATTTGCCATTAGACGCAGCTGAACTACTTTTCTTGCGAAGCACGAAGCAAATATGATACTAAAAAGGAGAAGGAAGCGAAGGCGGGTAAGGGGGAAGATTTGAAAATATGTCGAACATGTAACGTATATGTATATTGTTTGCAGTCAGTAAATTGATATTAACTCCGTGAGTTTTAAGTTGATKGAAGTTGATTTGATTGGAATCCAAATAATGTCAAAATAAAGTAAAGTGTTATGTAAACAAGATGACACAAAAATTAATGAAATAATTTTTTTGTAGTTGATTGATCAATTGACTCATTTTCACTATTAAACTATAATATATTGAGTAGTCGAAAAAGTCTTTTCGTATTTTGTCAATAAATGTCGTTGCAATCGTATATCTCCAGTGCTACCAATCATAATA